GAAAGTTTCTAATAAGGCAGCATAAAACAAAATGAAATTAGTGAATGTATGGGCGAGGAAGGCGGAACATTTGGTCCATTAATGGATTGGGACCAAGGTTTTTATAGTGCTTTAGCTTTCATCAAAATTTGTCGAAGTTCTCCTCGATCCTCGATCACTTTCGTATCATCGTGACCTCCAATGAATTCACCATCTATGAACAGCTGTGGCACCGTTGAACGACCAGTCATGCGTTTTAGAATTTTCTGGAATATAATCAAAATTAATTGGGTCGTGGTGTAAAATAATAACGAATAAAACATTTTTCACCTGCATGCTTTTCATTTCTTTTTGTCTATCCAATTCTATTACTTTGAGATCATTGATTGGGTAACGGCTGAGAATCATCTTCAATTTTCTGCTGTAGGGACAGTATGTTTTGCTGTACATCACAACCTATAATTTCAATAATGTAATTACATATATGGTATATTTATGAATTTGAAAATGTAAATCAAGATTTAGTTCCTAAAAAGTTGCCTCATTCTTTCATACTTATTTGCATTTTTCCTTAACTCATTCGAACATGATCAAGTGACATATATATCTTGTTTGGATACATACTGAAATGACGATGAAAAGAAGTTGACTCTCGCTTTGTAGTGGTTTTTTTAAAATGTTGTTTTTACTTTCCACTTGATCCGAGGATCCAACAGCCCCTCAAATACTATAGAAAAATCTCCTATTCTCTTTTTGTCTCCTGCTAATTTACCACTGATTTTTGACTTTTAAAGCATTGTAGCACTCGCATACGTAATGAAAATATCAATATACAATATCTTTCTTATTTCCAATCGGCGAGCGAATGAGTTTTGGAAAATTCACTTAGAGCATTCAAAATCCTGATTGCGACTTATCAAGGATTTTTCTATCCCAGAAATTCTCTACCTAAGTATAGCAGATGGCTATTCGCTCACAAATCCTAGCATACTTTGAATCTTCAACAAAGAAGTGATAAATTTTCTCGTCGCGCTTCGTGCTGCGTTCGGAATTACTCGTGTATATTGTACTTGTTAACCCAGCTGTTCTGGAAAATGCAGAATTGTTAAGTTCGTTACGTTTTTTTCCTGGGGTGAGTAAACAAAATCTTCTTTTTGTGGAGCTTTACCTTCCTAATTCAATCTATATCAAAATTGCAATAATTCCTAAAATTTATAAATGTAGAATAAGACAAATCAATTCAAACTCGTTTCAAGACGATTTGCAGTTTTAATCCAAAAAATCTAACTGCGTATTTTACCAAAACTTTTTACTATTCTATTTAGTAAACGCTAGAAAAACATTCTGAACTTGGAAGGTTGAAACTTCGCAATCAATCACAAAAATTCTGCAAAATTACTTCCCTGTTTCCTACACTTATTACAAAACTGCAGACCGAAGGTAGTGGATAATTTTGTTTTGGGGTTTCTGAAGCCATTTTTCTATGTTTGCCTCCAAATGAGAACCTTTGATCACAATTCTTCCCTGCCCCCCCCCCTTGTTTTCCCCTTCCCTTTTAATTTCCACTTCTCGTACCTTGTGGCT